CCCACACAAGTCTGCTGTGGGACATTTGTGTAGGGTCTTGTTCAGGGCTATGCAGTTGATGTTACCATGAGGTTTCTGGTGGGACTCTGGCCTTCCACACTCTTGAAGGCAGCCAACAATATTCCTTTCAGTGATACGGAGCATCCTCCATCGAGAAACAGTTGAAACTTACCCCAGTCCCACTCCTGGTTCCAGTGAAAACAGCGCGGAAGCCCACTCCCTTTAGCCCATTTCTCTAGGTGAGCCCTACCAGATCCATTGCCAAGGTGAGGCTCAGGAACTGCCTGGAGGTTCTCAGCTTAACGTCTGCCAGAGCCAGACCCTGAAACAATCAATGGGTTAGAAATCTGCATCAACCAAATGCAGGCATTCCTGGCCCCTGTGGGTGCTACACTCCTGGGTGCTTTTGCACTTGGTAGGGGCAGGAGGGGGAGCCTTTTGGCCTATCAGAGGCCTTAGGCTTTTGGCTCACCTCTAGCCTGGTTTATTTCTACCAAGACCAGACGAGTTGTCTTATGGCTGTTTGGATCCCAGTCTGGGCTCCTCCAGTGACAGCAACTCTGTCATCAATGCTGTTTCTCCAGAGATTTCTCATTCATTCATTCATTCATTCATTCATTCCATTCATTCATAAAACAATAGGGAACATTTTGGACAGTATCCTGTCCTCATGGAATTATGGTTTGGTAGGGATGGCTGGACATTCATCAAACAGTCACTCAAATAAGTATAAAATTACAACTGTGATAAGTGTTATGAAAAAAAGGAATTGGGGCTCATGAAATACAGTGAAGGTGGGACTTGCCATTGTTTGGAAGCCAAAAAATAATAACCTCAGTGTGAACAGAGCTTGGTGAGCCATTGGGTGGGGGGTGGGGAGGTGGGGGCCATAGGGGCTGGGGAGGAGATGTGCCCAGCTCAGCCGGTGTCTGGGTGCAGTCAGTAGGAAGTACACGGAAAGGTAAATATGGAGACTTCTACAGGTTCCATGGGATGTGTTAAGAGTTTTGGTCTTTTTCCTGAGAGCAATGGGTGACTGTTGAAGGCTTTTTAATGAGGAGGCAAGAAGATTAGATTTTTGCTTCAGAAACCTCACTTGGGCTCCAGTGTAAAGACCGAATTGGAGGTGGGCAAGAGTAGAATTGTCAGATAGAACACAGGACGCCTAGTTAAATTTCAATTTCAGATAAACAATGCATACTTTTTTAGTATGTGTATGTCCCAAATACCACATGGGACATAATTATATTAAAAATTTATTGTTTTAACTGTGCTTTTAAAAAGTTTTAAATAGGTTGCAGATATTGCATGGGACCTAATTATGCTAAAGATTGTTCATTGTTTATCTGAAATTCACATTTAATTTGACATCTTGTGTTTTTATTTGTTAAATCTGGTAACCCTTAGCAAGAGAAAATGTGGAGAAACTGGTTATAGACCAGTTATTGTTGTAAACTACTAAAAGATGCTTAGGTTAGGGTAGCAGAGGTGGAGATGGAGAGGAGTGGACAGAGAAGGAATAGTCCTGGTTGGTCCAAATCTGCCATTCAAAGGCATCTGGAAGACAGAATCCATCAGCTTCCCTCCTACTCTGAAACTAATTTCCGCACACATGCCATTTAAAGACGTGGGTATGGTATCGTGAACTGCATAGTCTCAGTGCAGGTCAGGTGTCTGGTCAGAACCTGCACTGAATGGCCTATCAGAGGTGTTCTGTGACAGTGTGAGGTGGTCTTATTTCTGTCTCCATCCCTCCAGGCCAGAGACACCTGAGAGGTGAGTTCTGAGCATTGCAGTGACTGATGTGTGTGAAGGAGAGATTTGGTAGAAAGGTCAAGACCTTTACGACAATAGAGGCAATATTGTAAGTTGTACACTGTTTTTCCCCATGATATCTCACATTTTAGCAAATTAAGCAGTAGAGTAAAGCAGTCAACAACACGGACTTCGCGAGGGGCTTTAAACCCTGTTGGTTATTAGCTTGTCTACACTATCTGTGTGATCTTGGCTGAGATACTTAACTCTCTTGGCTTTGCGACATATTTTAAGATTAGCACTAAAGTACCTTGAAAGCCAGGCCCACAGGAGATACTTAGTAAATGGTATATGCTACTAGAATCAACAATCTCCTTGTTTCAGAAGGCAGGCTTACTCTTTGTCTTCTTACACAACTCACTTGATCATCTTCTTAATTCATAGCTCTGGTTTTGTTGCTGTTCACACTCTTCACTGTCTTCCACTGCCTTGTGTAGCAGATCTCCACGCACTCGTCTCAGTTTGCCTCGACTGAGTTTGCATGGAAATCTGCTGCACAAGGCAACGGAATATTGTTGCACCTGAAGATTGTCACTATTGCCCATCAGAACCCCTTTGTCCAAGCAAACCACCTCATGTAACCCTCCTGAAACCCAGCTTGAACATTTCCACTTTTTTGTTTGCCTTGAATGTCTTTGCCTGTATCTGTTCAAGCCTTATTAATCAAAAGTATTTATAAGTGAATGTTAACAGAAATATGAACAAAACAAGATATAAAACATAGGAAATGAAATAAATGCCTGTCACTAGGGAAATGGCTAAACAAATTACTATTCATGTCTACTGTGTAATACTATGCATCCATTACAATAGCTGTATGCAGACTGTCCTGGAAAGATATATATGATATAATGCTAAATAAAAACAGCAAATTATAGAGGAATATGTGAAGTAGGGTCACAGTTGCTTAGGAAGGAACCTAGTTCTATCTATACAGAAAGATAGGAATTAAATATATTCCAAACCGTTAAGCAAGGTTTCCTTTGGAGAAGAGGGTGGGAATTGGGTTGGAAGTCAAAGGAAACTCCTAATATTTAGTTAATATACTTTAATGGTTTAAGCTTGTTCATTTACCTGAACTGTGTTAATTTTGTAATTGAAATTAAAATGCATAGAAAAAGGTTTAGAAGAATGAAATAAACTGTGGTTATGTTTCAATTGTTAGACTGGCGCGGCTCTTGCCCTGTCCTTACTTATCATTGTTTTATTAAAGAACAAAATGGTAATGGAAGAAGATTACCCTTCTGCTAAATCCAACTGAAATGCTACTCCCTCAAAGAAACATTTTTCTAATTCCTCAAATGAATGTGCTGCCTCCTTTCTTTGAACCCTCAAAGTACTTTATGTATCTTTTGTGGCATTTTCTCATTCTATCTTAGTGAGTGTTTCAGGTACCCAAGTATGAAGACAAGTATTTCATACCAGTCTTACTGCCCCTCTACATTGAAGTAATGTGAAGCTATCACGGTAGAGAAGGAAATAGGATTTCGAGTCAGAGGGTCTGGATGTCACCTCTTGTTCTGGATGTCCGTGGCAGTCTGACAGATTAGCCCACACTTAGTAGCTTAAAACAACAGCCATTTTATTTTATCTCATGATTTTTTGGTCAGGAACTTGGGCAGAGCTGGGCTGGGTGATTATTCTGCTCGTGTGGTGTCGACTGGGGTCACTTGGTGGTAGCCAGCTTAGAGGTGGGCTGGATGGGAGGGTTCAGGAAGGCTTTAGTGGTATGCCTGCTGCTTGGCAGGGCAACTGGAAGACTGGGCTCAGCTGAGTGCCTTTCCCTCACTGGGTACTCTCGGGACATCTTGTAGACTTCTTATGGTGTGATTCAGGGCTTCAAGGGATAAGGCAGACCAAGGCTGAGGCTGCCCATCTTCTAAAGCAGTGGTCCCCAAACCTTTCTGGCACCAGGAACTGGTTTTATGGAAGACAATATTTCCATGGACCAAGGGTAGAGGGGGTGGTGGCAGGGATGGTTTCAGGATGAAACTGTTCCACTTGAGATCATCAGGCATTAGATTTTCATAAAGAACATAACACGCAACCTAGATCCCTCACATGTGCAGTTCACAATAGGGTTCATGCTCCCATGAGAATCTAATGCCACGTCTGATCTGACAAGAGGCAGAGCTCAGGAAGTAATGCTTGCTCACCCACCACTCACCTCCTGTTGTGTGGTCCGGTTCCTAACAGGCCTTGGACCAGTACTGGTCAGTTTGTGGCCTGGGGATTGGGGACTCATGTTCTAAAGGATAGAAATAGCATAGTGTCATGCCTGCTATACTCCACTGGTTAAACATCCACGGAACAAATGCAGATGCAAGGCGGGTGGGAACAGAGATGCTACCTCCTAAAAGAATTTGTGTAAAAAATGTGTGGCCATCATCAATTTGTCACAGCTTTGCTGTGAGAAATACAACCTTTGTGTCTCAGTGACTCCATTTGCAAATTATAAAGATCCAAAGCTATAATGTATGCAAAGCATGCTATGCATTATAAAAAAAACTGTATGCACTATAAATATTAACATTTACCTTGGTATTAAATCTATGCCTTACTCAAGGCAGGTACTCATTAAATGTTGAATACTTTGAAAGCAAACTCATTTAAACACAGATATTTCCTAAGAAAAACACAAAGAATGTGATGCTGCATGATCACATAGAAGCGTGGCTCAGTTTTAGAGTATAGACTTTGGATTAGGTTGACACGAGTTAAATCCAAGCTCTGTCACCCAGTTCCTATCTATGTGGCCTTTGTTAATTTGCCTCACCTCTCTGAGCCTTAATTGTCTCATCATAATATGGAAATAGTATTACTTACCCAGCAGCGTTGCTGTAAGCATTGGAGCTAATTTGTGTCAAGCACCTAGTAGGGTCACATAGTAGGTGTGCAGTTTCTCTAAGATGATATTGAGTCATATAGAAAGTCTGGACTCCTCACTTAATTCCACTGCACTGCTCACCTCCATGAGCTCAAAGGATTGACAGGAGTCCAGAGTCTAGGCCCTTGCGAAGGCATTGGGGAAAAGGGGAAGGCCCTCCTTCTTGTTTCTCCAAGTCTCTTCCTGTCTCCAATGTTCACCTCTAGGAATCTGTGTCCATGCAGCTTTTTTTTTGTGAATCTATTCCTCTCTGTTGGAACTGGCCCCCTTTTCAGACCTGTGGCTCTTCCTTTCATAGATGTACGAGATCAAAGCAGGAGGCAGCATTGCAAAGAAGTTCAGTGCAGCTCTGCAGAAGCTGAGCTCGCCCCTGCAACCCCGAGTTCCAGAACACAGCAACAAGATGAAAAACCTGTCCTACCCATTCTCCAGGGAGAAGATGTACCTGTGAGTATTAAAGCTGCTGGAGCAGGGATGTGGGAAGGGATGGGAAGGAAAATTGAATGCTGTTCCATGACTCAGCCCTGGGGCTCCCAAAGTGGGTGCCCCAATGCCTGGGAGAGAGAGTAGGAAGCATGTTCTCACGGTGACATTGTCCCTGTGCCTGCTTTGTGAACCCCCTCCCCATGTGAGATTATCCCAAACAGCTGAGGATGCTTGTCCAGCAGGAAATCTGCCATTTGACCATTTTGCAGGGTGATGGGCAAACCAGGGAGCAGCCAACAATAAACTTTGGAACTCTGTGAGAAAGTGGTCAGACGCCTGTGTATCTTCTGCAGGAAAACCTTCTTCCCAATTGCCAGTCTAATAGGGTTTCAACAGGATATGATAAACCGGAGAGAAGGTAGCCTCTGGGTTTCTGGATTCCAACTGCCTACTTGTACATTCATTGACTCTCAAGGGTCTTCCCCTGTCCCTGCAGCCTGCCTAGGAAGAGTGAATAAAAGCTCTTCACAGAGATAGCCACTTGGGAAACATTTGGAAGGGGGAGCCACAGCTGGGAAGTGGGAGATGCAGCCGTCAAGTATCAACTTTGCTCTAGGAGCTAATGAGAAAATAAACAACTATCAAGGGTGACGAGAAAATGGAGCAAGAGAGAGAAAGGCCGGGGCATGGAAGGGCAGAGAGGACAGACAGAAGGACCTTCTCATTTTAGGAGGTGGAAGTTGTGGAGCAGTGTTTCTGTTGTCCATGAGAGACCATCTCCTATCCATCTTTGCTGTGTTCGCTATTATCCTACACATATGCATATGCTGTTTCATTTGCATGTATTTACCCTCTCATTCAGTACTCATGCCCCCTTGTGAGGTGGCCGGCCAGATCTAACTATCTTCTATTATAGACACCAAAGTCTAAGTCTGTCCAGGGTCACACGGCCCAAAGTGGCTGAGCTGGGCCTTGCATGGTGACTGGTGGCTTGCTGCTCTTTCTATGTCCTGTGGTGCTTCCCTGCGTCCCCTTCCCTGGGCCTTCATTTATGCTGGTGCTGGCATCTGAATGGTAACCTCCTAGGCACCTCCGTTTGTTTTACTTCTGTTGTCCTTCAAGACTGGTCCATCAACACCTTCCTTTTGAAGGATATTCTGCTCTTCCCAACCAGAAGCATGCGCTTCACCCTCTGAACTTTCATAGCAATGGTCTGCATGTTCCCATGTTCTACTCTGTGTCAGTTACTTAGAGAAATGTACATTTCAGTGATTGGAGCTCCTGGGGTGCTGGGAGCATATTTCCTTCCTTCATCACTACATCCTCTAGCACAGCTTCCTCAGCATTACAAACACACCCCATGTGCTATTTTCTGAGTGAAAGCTCAGTGTATGAAGTTAAAAACAGACACAGCCCTTGCATGATTAAGATTTTTCTAATGGATGAGATGACAGTGACATTAAATGAAATTTTGAAGAATCAGAGTGATAATCCAACACCCTGAAACGATACTCTTTTTGTTTTGTATTTTTTAACTGTCTTTGTTCATGCACCAGTATCTTTTTTACATACTTTCCATTTGGAACCTTATCATCGTATATTTTTCTAACATGGTATAATCTTTTTCTATACACAAAGTTTTCATAATTATAAATTTCGATGACTGCATGATACCCTATCCTATAGATTTTGGGATTGCATCTTATTGTTATAATCTTTATTATAAGTACCTTTTCAATAGGCATTTTTTATTTATGTTATTTTTCTTTCTGCGTGTTGAATTTCTTCCCTAAGAGAAATTTCTAGGATGAGTTTTTAGAATTACTGAGTCAAGAAAGGCATAAACATTGTGTGTGTGTGTGTGTGTGTGTGTGTGTGTGTGTGCACCTCATAAGTCTTGCTATGTTGCTTTCTAAAGATTTGCTGTGGGCCTGGGGTGGCAGTGGTCTCAGGGCAAGAAGTGAATTTGCCATCTGCTCTCTTGGTGTCTCCAGGTACAACATCCAGGAAAAGGACACCTTCTTTGATAATGCCACCCGCAGCCGCATTGTAAGTAAATAGATGTACTGTGTTAGGAAAGAGGATGGGGAAAGAGCTGAGTCCCTAGTTGGCAGGATATTCTCTTACCCTCCCTGCCACCTCACACAGTTATTTGCTTGGAGTTGCCCAGCAACTGAGAAAAGTATGCAAGAGCTTCCCCATTCCCCAGAAGAAACAGCAAATAGCTGCCCTCACTTGTGGTTTAAGGGGAGCGTCGTCTTCTCTTTATGGGTTCTCCATTAAAGTTCTGCTTAGGAAAAAAAACCAGGGAAGGTCATAGTTGCTGTGGGGGTTAGTTAGTTGAACCCCTTGATTTACATAGAGGAAACTGAGGCTCTGAGAAGCAATGCATTGAAAAAAAATTATATAGATCGTTAGTGTCAGAACAAGGACTAGAACTAGTCCTTCTGATGGTTGGACCACTGTGTTTGTTTATGCATTTTCCCTTCTTTCAACCCTCATGACAGAGTCATGTGAATTTATATAACATGGAATGCTAGTTAACCCATTTGCCCAAGAATAATATCACCAGCCCATTCACTAGAAAGCCAACGCTCGTGACCATAGCTCTTCTTCCATAGTCGTTTTGCCTTTATGTCAAGTGTTTGAATTTTGTAGGATGATGGATTCTAATAAAAATCTGCATATAGCCTGTGTTTCTGTGGCCCCTGCATGAGCTGTAGAACATCTTCATTCACCGATCAGTTTATTCTCTATCACCCTAGAGGTCACGTAGCCTATGGGCACAAGACAGAAAGAGGGGCCCAAGGAATGCCAGAAACTTACACATGCCCCCATGGGAAGTATGAAGTGCGTTTCCATTGATCTTTACCAAAGAACTGAAGTTTCCACAGGAGGAATAAGGGTTAGATACCTAGAAGGGTGGTAAGAAAATATAGGAATAAGAAGGGACAGGTGATTAGAGGAGGCTAGGAGATTTCCCAGGCACACTGCAAACATGGCATTAACTCTTACTTGCAGGATGGGCAAGGAAATCTCAGCTCCCTTAGCCTAGTGTCTTAGGCAGAGTGAAAATGGGCATGTGATTTCTTTTTTCTTCCAATGGAAAAAGGCATTAACGTCCCATTTTCTTGGTTGATGCTATTAGTAGCCAATGAAATCTCACTGTGGCTTGGGTCCCACGACTGTGGGGGAGTTATAAGGTGTTGCGGAGATTACTCGATAATTGCAAAGTGCTCGTAAAATAATTCAATGCTGTATAAATGCTGTTCCTAATTATTATTGCTGTTGAATTACTGCACTATATTAGGAGAAGAATTAAACACTCTTGGACCCCATAGTTATTTACTTACCACTCCCTTTAGGCTGTGGCTGGAATATGGGAATGTAAATAATGATGGAATAACACATCTTCTAGCATTCATCTCTCCTTCTGGAAGCATCTTCCTTTCCTCAGTCCGCCACACATTGAGAACAGGGGAAAAGAGCCTTGAGTTTTGTCCTGAGATCTATTCTGCCCTGGACTTTGGCTGGAGGACCTCACCCTCATCTGTGGATGTCTCCCCTATGCCTGCTTCTTTGTGGGTGTCTGAGCACCTCAGCTTTTTGTTGCAAGGCAGACTTCATTGCTGGGCATCTCTTTATAGACTGGCATAGGCTTGTCCCTCCCTGATTCTTTTGTGGGAAGCACCCCTTTCCTCCCATGTAAGAAACAGAGTCCCCTGCAGGTCCCATAGGCCAGAGGATTCTGTAGGCTGTTTTGGGCACGTAGGGCTTCAGGCAGGCAAAGCCACTGAGTTGGCAGCTGCTGTGTGCCTAGGACGGTGCTCTAAGACATGAATCTTCAAGGAAGTGTATGATATGCTCTGATCAGGGAGGCAGGATGAGGACCCAGGAAAAAACCACGAAATAAAGACATCAGTGACCAACATAGAGGTAGCTCCTTTGCTGTTTCAGAGTGCTTCCCTGTGCACGGCCTGGCTGGTCTCCCGAGCAGCTCCGCTAGATGGCCCCATTACAGACGCAAGCTGACCCTCCTGACGTTTGCTCAGGACCCTCTGCACCTACCTCCGGAGCTCTCTGCCACCACACTGGTTCTCCCCGTCAGCCGGGCTCCAGGCTGGGGGAGGGGGCCTGCCCCTCCCCGGGACCCACCAGACAGAACCCCGCCTTTCCTGAGGTTCCCCGACGTGGGCGGCAGACACTGTCCCCTACCCCACAGAGCCAGGCTATGTGGTCCGGGGTGGGCTCCTCTGTTTTCCTTACCTCCTGTAACTGCAGTCCATTTCTAGCCTTTTATTCATTTGTTTTTCTCAGGGTGGGGCGAAGGGGCGGGGGATGTGTGTGCAGGGGGGTTACATCCCTTGTTTCCTCAAAGTCCTCAAGTCTGAGTGGGGTTGATGTGCCGCCCATGAGCCAGGTACCTGCTTGGCTTAGCCCTCACTGCAAATGGGCCCGGGCGTCTCCCGCCCCTGCAAGGCAGTGGTGAGGGTGACGCACGGTGGAGGGCGGGGGGGAACGAGGCGCTCACAGCTCTGCTGTCGTCCCCTTTTAGGTGCACGAGATCCTGAAGCGCACAGCCTGCTCCCGAGCCAACAACACGATGGGTAAGGACCCCAGCCCGCGGGCAGGGTGCTGACGGGTGCTGAGGCGGCTCCCTCCCTGTGCTTTCAACAGCTCCCTTGGTGGGCAGCAAAGAACAAAGCAAACAAATGCCCCCCACGGAGAGGCTGCTTAGCTTAGGCTGAGAAGCCTGCCTTGGCCCCAGGAGCAGTGGGGGTCCCGTTTCTCAGTGGGGCTGCTCCCAGGCTGTTGTAGCTTCTCCTAGGCCTTCATCCCAGGTCTCCCGGCTTTCTCTTTCTCTTTTCCCCGTACCGCCCACACCTGCCACTGTATCGGGATAATTCTGCGGCTCCTCTGTTTTTCAACATTTCGAATAGTTTTTAATAACCCAAGAAAAGCATCTTAGAGGTCCTTTAGTCCAACCTCCTCATATTATGTAAGAAGAGATGAACCGCCAGAGAGGGTGCATAACTGCCCTGAGCCCACACAGCACGTGATGGCTAAGTCTGAGTGAGCCTCAGCAGTCTTCTCACCGTATCTGGCTGAATCTGTTTGCCCTGTGGTTTGTTTCTTAAATATTAGGGTAATTGTCTTGGAAGCATTTGGGACCAAGTATAAGGCAGGCAGTATAAGGCAGGGCGTCCAGATCCTGATGGATTGTGTGGAAGACATCTGTGACGGCCCAGGTACAATGTGAGCTGTGCCCGTAACCCCCTGAGACTGGTTTTTGGAGAAATGTGCCAAAACGTCACACACAAACACTTCTGCACAGGAATCATTCTTGCATGTTGAACCCTTGTTCCCAAGGTGCTGCCATCTCCAAGCGGCTTCTGACAGCTTTGGGAGAGCCGTCTTCAGAATGCGCTTTGGGATTGGCAAATCTGGCTTTTGAGGCAGCTTTAGGTTGAAAAGCGTTCAAAGTCATTTGGAGTCCTGTCTACTGAATAGAGGAGGTGATCAGGCTCAGGAATGACAACGATAATGATGATGTTAGCTAGCTAGTATTTGAGAGCGTGTTGTGGGGCTTGAGAGTGTGCCTGGGTACCCAGGGCACAGTGCTGGAGAAGGAATCTGAATGGGTGTTATGCCACGATAGTCTTTTTAGAATAGTGCTTAACCTCTCAACAGGGCAATTATGTTTGCTTACGTTTGCTTTGATATATTCATCTTGCTACAAGATTCCAAATAACAATGTACTTTTTAAACTCAGACCTTCCATGTTATGTTATTTGTCCGGAACACGGTGCTGATGAGGCGAGGCTGAGTAAGTGGGTGAGGGAATTAGCCTAAAAAACAGAGAAATGTTATATATATATAAAAAATATATATATAAAATATATTACATATATATAAAATATATATTATATATATATAAAATTTATATATTTATTAAGCATTAGCCCCCTGACTCAAATGTTAATCTCCTTTGGCAACACCCTCACAGACACACCCAGGATCAGTACTTAGCATCTTTCAATCCAATCAAGTTGACACTCAGTATTAACCATCACAAGTCCACCCATTGTCAACCTGAACCCATACGCATCTGAGATCATACATAATCTTCAAATAAAGGCAATAATAAGGTCATAATTATACCTAACATAATACAGCTATCATTCATACAACCGGAAATGCACCAATCCCCAATCCAAATACTATTACATGAAATTAACACTACCCAAATGCTGATATGAGGTCAGTAAATCTTATGTCACTTGATAAAGGAAAAAGGAAATGAAGTTATTTCTTAGTGCAAGTGTATACATGCACAAACATGTTGTTAGCAAAAGAAGGAGGAAATACTTATGACAATTACAGTCCTCGTTTCTGCAGCTGGTCATGTGGTCATAGCTGGTATTGATGAGTACCTTCTTCTACTAAACATTCTGTATTCCCTTTGCCTTCAGCAAGCACCTCAGCAGGTCATGGTTTTTTTCCTGGTGGAGTGACCCAAACCGTTCCTGAGGGGCCTGGGCCATTTGCAGTCCTGCCTGGATTGGGCTGCTGTTATTTCCCATTGACCTTAATCACAGGGCATGGTAATACTAAGAAACGCCCTAATGGATCTCCTGTCTTCCATGCGTACTGTTCCTTACATCTGTTGTGGAGTAGTAGACTGATTTCATCATGATAGTCTGGGTCAGTCACCCCAGCCAACACTGTAATTCCCTCCTTAGCGTGTCGCCTTAAAGGTAGGAGGAGCCCGAAGTGGCCAGGTGGCAATCTTAACTTCTAGTTTAATGGAATTGTTGTGTTTCCTGGTGACATCATTCCTCCCTCTGAAACTAAGATGTCTAGGCCAGCGGAACGTAATGCTGTGGGAACAGGAAGCAGAAATTTTGCTAGTGGATCACTAGGGGTGATGGTGAGTGGTGCCACTTCCACTTCAGTGCCTTGATTCCTGGACCTGTGAATCCTGGCTATGGGAGAAACAGTACCGTTTATTGGATGCTGATTCAGAGCACACATGGCCTTCTGGGGAACTTTGTCCCAGTCCAGCAAAGTATTGTCACCTAGTTAGTGTTGTAATTGTGACTTCAAAAGGCCATTCCACCGTTCTGTCAATCCAGCTGCTTCAGGATGATGGGGAACATGGTAAGACCAGTGAATTCCATGAGCATGAGTCCACTGCCACACTTCTTTAGCTGTAAAGTGAGTGCCTTGGTCAGAGGCAATGCTGTGTGGAATACCATGATGGTGGATAAGATATTCTGTGAGTCCACGGATGGTAGTTGATATGGTTTGACTGTGTCCCCCTGCCAAATCTCGACTTGAATTGTATCTCCCAGAATTCCCACGTGTTGTGGGAGGCACCCAGGGGGAGGTAATTCAATCATGGGGGCTGTTCTTTCCCATGCTATTCTTGTGATAGTGAATAAGTCTCACGAGATCTGATGGGTTTATCAGGGGTTTCCACTTTTGCTTCTTCCTCATTCTCTCTTGCTGTCACCATGTAAGAAGAGCCTTTCACCTCCCACCATGATTCTGAGGCCTCCCAGCCATGTGGAACTGTAAGTCCTTTTTCTTCCCAGTCTCGGGTATGTCTTTATCAGCAGCATTACTTTCCCAGTCTACACCAATGGCCTTGTGGGGAGCTCCCCATGTAATGCTTATTATAGTAAATTGGTACCAATAGAGTGGGGCGTTGCTGAAAAGATACCCAAAAAATGTGGATGCAACATTAGAACTGGGTAATAGGCAGAGGTTGGAATAGTTTGGAGGGTTCAGAAGAAGACAGGAAAATGTGGGAAAGTTTGGAACTTCCTAGAGACTTGTTGAATGGCTTTGCTCAAAATGCTGGTAACAATATGGACAATAAGGTCCAGGCTGCAGTGGTCTCAGATGGAGGTGAGGAACTTGTCGGGAACTGGTGTGAAGGTGACTCTTGTTATGTTTTAGCAAAGAGACTGGTGGCATTTTGCCCCTGCCCTAGATACTTGTAGAACTATGAACTTGACAAAGATGATTTAGGGTATATGGCAGAAGAAATTTCTAAGCAGCAAAACATTCAAGAGGTGACTTGGGTGCTGTTAAAAGCATTCAGTTTTATAAGGGAAGCAGAACATAAAAGTTTGGAAAATTTGCAGCCTGACTATATGATAGAAAAGAAAAATCCATTTTTCTGGGGACAAATTCAAACTGGCTACAGAAATTTGCATAAGTAGCAAGGAGCCTAATGTTAATCACCAAGACCATGGGGAAAATGTCTCCAGGCCATGTCAGGGACCTTCACGGCAGCTTCTCCCATCACAGACCCAGAGGCTCAGGAGGAAAAAGTGGTTTCATGGGCTGGGCCCAGGGTCCCTGTACTGTGTGCAGCCTAGGGACTTGGTGCCCTGTGTTCCAGCCGCTCCAGCTGTGGTTAAAAGGGGCCAATATACAGCTCAGGCTGTGGCTTCAGAGGATGGAAGCCCCAAGCTTTGGCAGCTTCCATGTGGTGTTGAGCCTGCGGGTGCACAGAAGTCAAGAATTGAGGTTTGGGAACCTCTGCCTAGATTTCAGAAGATGTATGGAAGTGCCTGGATGTGCAGGCAAAAGTTTGCTGCAGGGGTGGGGCCCTCATGGAGAACCTCTGCTAGGGCAGTGTGGAGGGGAATTGTGGGGTTGAAGCTCCCACACAGAGTCCCTCCTGGGGCACTGCCTAATGGAGCTATGAGAAGAGGGCCACCCTCCTCCAGAACCCAGAATAGTAGATCCACTGACAGCTTACACTGTGTGCCTGGAAAAGCTGCAGACACTCAATGCCAGTCCATGAAAGCAGCCCGGAGGGAGGCTGCACCCTGCAAAGCCACAGGGGTGCAGCTGCCTAAGACCATGGGAACCAACCTCTTGCATCAGCGTGACCCAGAGTCAAAGGAGATCACTTTGGAGCGTTAAAATTTTACTGCCCTGCTTGATTTCGGATTTGCATGGGCCCTGCAACCCCTTTGTTTTGGCCAATTTCTCCCATGTGGATTGGCTGTATTTACCTAATACCTATACCCCATTGTATCTTGGAAGCAACTAGCGTGCTTTTGATTTTTACAGGCTCGTAGGCGGAAGGGACTTGCGTTGTCTCAGATGAGACTTTGGACTGTGGACTTTTGGGCTAATGCTGAAATGAGTTAAGACTTTGGAGGACTGTTGGGAAGGCATGATTGATTTTGAAATGTGAGGACATGAGATTTGGAGGGGCCAGGGGTGGAATGATATGGTTTGGCTGTGTCCCCCCGCAAATCTCAACTTGAATTGTATCTCCCAGAATTCCCATGTGTTGTGGGAGGTACCCAGGGTGGGTAATTGAATCATGGGGGCTGTTCTTCCCCATGCTATTCTCGTGATAGTGAATAAGTCTCATCAGATCTGATGGGTTTATCAGGGGCTTCTGCTTTTGTTTCTTCCTCTTTCTCTCTTGCCACTGCCATGTAAGAAGTGCCACCCTCCATGATTCTGAGGCCTCCCCAACCACGTGGAACTGTAAGTCTAATTAAACCTCTTTTTCTTCCCAGTCTCAGGTATGTCTTTATCAGCAGTATGTAAATGGACTAATACAGTAGTCTTG